GCAGCAGCCACCGAGCCCAGGAGCCACAAGCAGGGCCAGGAGACACTTTTGTCATTGACACAGGGGACAATTCAAATAGCTGAGCCGCAGACACATCTGCGGATCTTGCTTTATGTAACTCGTTTTTATTTCTATTTTTGAACGTGTGCTTTCATTTTCTAGGGGAGTTTGGCTCGGTGGGTGTCTCCCATCTCCTGCCCTGTCTCACAGAGCACGTGTGAGATGCTCGCTCTCCTCACCTGTCCATGAAACTCTGGCTCTCCTTTTCCACCTTTTGAGATTTCCTCCTTGCCAGGCCTGACATGGAGAATGATTTGAGATTTAAGAGGAACAGATAAATCAATGCCTTAAAAACATTCTGAGCTTCATCTGTGGGTGAAGCATTCCGAGCTTCATCTGTGGACATTTCCTGCTGTCCACAGGGGGCAGGAAATGGGGGCACTGGCTCTGTGCCAGGCTCAAACCATGACACCACACATTACCTGAGATTTTTGGTATTTTTTAGAAGGGAGTTCTGTTTGCAATTAAGACAAGTGTGTGGTTTGTTTTGTGATCTACACCAATCATAATTCCTTCCTTGCCAGGCAGTCACCTTGTGCTGGACCAAGTGTGCTTTCAGACAAAGCAGCCTGGCACAGTGAGCAGAGCTGGATGCAAGTTCCAAGTAATTTTTCCTTCCAGGTTTAATTGCAAACAGTGGTGGGTGGAGAAGAGCATTCTCTGGACAGTGATTAATTAATTACTAATCTGAATTCCCTTGGGGTTGGGCCCTTATCAGTGCCACTCTGGATAAATTTGGAATGACTATGAAGGAGAGCAAATGACATTTTATCTTTTCAGTAGTGCAGCAAAAGCCCAAATCCCTCCTGGGTTCCAGCTGCAGGTTTGTGGCTGAGCCTAAGGCAGGTTTTGCAGTTCACCTGAATTCCCAGAGCCAGGGTTGCTGTGGGAGGCAGCCAGCCCCTGTGATTGGCATTGTGCAGCCTCAGAGCCCACACAGAATCCCAGAAGGGTTTGGATTTGAAGGAACCTTAGAGCTCATCGAGTTCCCGCCTCCTGCCATGGGCAGGAGCACCTTGCTGTGGGTGCTGAGCATCCTCTGGAAGGATCTCATGAAAACACACCAGGGAGTGACTTCACCTGCAGGGATGGAGCTGCCCAGCACCACAGCAAAGGGAAATGCGCTTTTCTTGGCAGGAGGGAAAATCCTCTTGGACCAAGAGGTTGTGAAACTTGAGCAAGGCTCTTGGAGCATGGCCATGGAACCCATATTTTAGTATAATATTATACTAATATTATACTAAGCTATATTAAAGAATACAGAAAGGATATTTACAGAATGTGAGAACAGCCAGGAGAGATGCTGCCAGAGAAGAAAAATCACAAAGTAAAAGCAGCTGAAGCTGGTGGAGCTGTTTGGTCTGGATGAGATTTTTTGGATAAAACCCATTTGAGCCGTGATCAATGCTCAAAACACCTGGGATAGGCAGGGAGGCACTTAAAATAAAAAAGATCCTGGAGAGGGAGATTAACATGTAGGGAAGAGGCTGGGAAATGCACGTGGTCACTGCTGGTGTTTGCTGCTGCCAGGTTAGGAGGAAATTGCTTTGGAGTAATTTTTGGAGAGATTTAAATTTCTGGATGGGATTCAAGCCTAATATCAAAATGAGTTATTTTATTAAAAGCATTTAAATAGAAACTAAAGAGTGGTCAGAAGCAGGGGGGCTGTTTTAGAAGGAATTTGCTATAAACCTGCTACACAAAAGCTTTCTAAAATATTACCCTGTAAAAATCCCGTAATTCTCTTTATCTGCAATTTAATTACATTTCCTGTAGTGCCTGTGTCAGAACAGTTCACTTACTCTTGTTCTCTATTAACTCACACCTGCCCCAGGAAACCAGAAGGAAAAATTGTTGGCATTCTGAGTCATTTGTGTGCTTTTCAGGATCTCATTGAGCTCACAAAAAGGGTCTAAGGAGGTGCTGGAGAAGTAGGAATTGGGGTTCTCATCGTGGTGATGGCTGTGAGATGGCAATATCTAAATATATATATATATTTATAGAAATGTATAAAAGATATATTTATATAAATATATAAACCAG